TATATATATATATATATATATATATATATATATATATATATATATATATATATATATATATATATATATATATATATATATATATATATATATATATATATATATATATATATATATATATATATATATAGCCTAATATTACATTTATAAGTAATCCACTTAAAAATGTTTGTTTAATATGAGTTGTGGCAATGCGGTGGCGTAGTGCTGTCACCTCACAGCATGAAGGTCGCTGGTTCGAGCCTCGGCTGGGTCAGTTGGCGTTTCTGTGTGGAGTTTACATGTTCTTCTTGCATTCGCGTGGGTTTCCTCCGGGTGCTCTGGTTTCCCAAACACATGCAGTAAAACACTTGCTGGATAAGTTGGCGGTTCATTCCGCTGTGGCGACCCCAGATTATTGAAGGGACTAGGCCAAAAAGAAAATTAATGAATAACTATGGGTTGTATAATATAGTATTCCACTGTATTACATAGACAGGCATAGCCATGAGTTCTGAATAAGCCAAATAGGCTCAATCCCCCTGTTTACTGTTTACAAAAACTGCATTTTTTGTTTCCATGTATTAAATAAATAAATAAACTGCCACTTTCTAATTAAATGACACACATACAAATATATATTTGAAAACTTACAGGCTAATTCACATATTTCACGATCTGAATGATAATAATAAATGAGAAGTATTTTTTTTAATACTTGACAACACTTGATGTCTCTATCTCTGTGAGTGACTCAGTGACTGTTAAAACGAGTACATAAATGCTTCTGTCACTGTGTTTAATCCTTTCTGTGCAAGACTGTATGGTATAGTTAACGCCACACGAACTGTAAGATGTTTAATATTGCTAGTTCATTTTAAAATAAAAATAGCGAAATGTTTGGATTTACATTTTTTGCTGGAGGAAACAGCTGCGCTGATGAGGTGAATGCCCAGAAAACCCAAATGCTCCTCACATACAGTTGAAGTCAGAATTATTAGCCCCCCTGAAATATTATCACCCCTGTTTATTTTTTTCCCCAATATCTGTTTAATGGAGGGAAGATTGTTTCTACACATTTCTAAGCATAATAGTTTTAAAAACTTATTTCTAATAACTGGTTTATTTTATCTTTGACATGATGACAGTAAATAATATTAGACTAGATATTCTTCAAGACACTTCTATACAGCTTAAAGTGACATTTAAAGGCTTCACTAGGTTAATAAGGTGAACTAGGCAGGTTAGGGTAATTAGACAAGTTATTATATAACGATGGTTTGTTCTGTAGACTTTCAAAAAAACAATGATCTTAAAGGGGATAATAATATTGTTCCAAAAATGGTTTTTAAAAAATTAAAAACTGCTTTTATTCTAGCCGAAATAAAACAAATAAGACTTTCTCAAGAAGAAAATATATTATCAGACATACTGTGAAAATTTCCTTGCTCTGTTAAACATCAAAAGGGGGCTAATAATTCTGACTTCAACTGTATGTTTTGGGAATGGCCAGCGGTGGTTAGTTTTTGTAAATATGTACGCGCTACTCTTTTGTATTTCCTACATGTAGACATACCTCGGGATCGCCTACTTTTTCTTTTATTGGATGACTCCATTCTACAACTGAACGCCCATCAAAAAAGGACTTTATTAGCTGCAAGCACTGCAGCTAAAAAGTCTATTTTGGAATGATGGATTGAACCATCCACTCCCTCAACTTTGAGATAGTTTTATACCATATTGGTTATCCACTGCCAGACTCTACACTATGCAAAGCTGGACCAATATTGCTGGAAAAGCCTAAAAGCTGATATTTTTATAAAGTATATGATTTTTTTTTTTGTGAATTATATATATACTAGTGGACGATTTCATGGCATCTACTAGTGTAGTTTTATAAGCGCTTATAAGTTTATGAGCGCTGCTCATCCATTTGCACTGGCTGCCAGTTGCTGCTCGCATTAAATTCAAAGCTCTGATGTTTGCCTACAAAGCGACTTCTGGCTTTGCTCCTTCTTATCTGCTCACACTCCTGCAGATGTATGTGCCCTCTAGAAACTTGCATTCTGTGAATGAACGTCGCCTCGTGGTTCCATCCCAAAGAGGGAAGAAATCACTTTCGCGAACGCTCACGCTCAATCTGCCCAGTCGGTGGAATGAACTCCCTAACTGCATCAGAACGGCAGAGTCACTCACTGTCTTCAAGAAACCACTAAAAACTCAACTATTTAGTCTCCACTTTCCCTCCTAATCTGCAATTGCCTCTATGGATATACCACTAACTGTACTCAAAATAATTACTAATGCTTTCCTTCTTAGACTTTACAGACCTGAAACTTTCCTACAGCACTTATTCATTGTTGCTCTTATAGTTGTGTAAATTGCTTCTTTGTCCTCATTTGTAAGTCACTTTGGATAAAAGCGTCTGCTAAATGACTAAATGTAAATGTAATTTCAATATAATATTGATCTTTCAATAAAAAAAGTCTCCTGTTTTTTTACAGTAAAATCAAATAATTTTTTAAAAATAAAATTAGTCAAAGTTTATTTTGAATTTGCTGGTAATTATTAATATTGATGTTGTAATTAGCATCTGTTTCCCCCAGAAAAATGGAATGGTAACACTTTAGAATAATGAACCTTTAGTTAATGTATTTACTAACCGTAACTAAGTATCAATAATCTTGTAAGGCATTTATTAATCAAAGTTTATAATTTACTAATTCATTAATTAAATCCAAAGTTGTGCATGTTACCACTAGTTAATGCACCATGAGTTACCATAAACTAATGTTACACCATTAAAAAAAATTAATAAATTCTGTAATAAATGTATAACTAGATGTTTGTTCATGTTTGTAAATACATGGACTAATGGACTGTTATTTTAAAGTGTTACCAATGGAATTTCTGTCATTTTTATTATTTAATTATGATCATATTATAGCCGAGATTCATGTTTCTTAATTATCTGCAAACATATGGGATTTTTATATTTTGGAGGAGTTATACACTCGGACGAGTGAGAGGATGATGTAGTCGTTCTGCTGACCCTGGAACCGGTCGACTGTGGTCACCTGCAACACATCACACAGTCTCTTACCACTGGCCTATTCACTGTATATTTATCTAATTTAACGATGCTGTATTTGAATTCAGTAGCTATGTTTCCATCCACCTAGTTTCATGCATGTTTTGGATATGCGCTTAAAAAATGGTTGATGGAAACACTAAGATGGGCATAAATTTTGAAAATGCTTAAAAAAAGCGTGTGGATAAGAGTAGGATAAACTTTTTATTCTATAAGAAAAGATGCACATAAACTACGATGGAAACGCTTTTACTGAACAAATCCCAGTATGCGCATTAAAAAGTCATGTGATTTTGTTATAAGAGATCATGTGATGAGAAACGTGTGTGAATAGACAAATAGACAAAATAGACCAAAAAAAAGTATTAGTTAGGGATGTAGCAATATTGTAAATACTGTCATACTGCAATAGTAATGTTTTTAAATATTACCGTAGGCGCATGACTCAATAAAACTATATTTCTGAGAAAAGTTTGCTCAGGTGAATGAAGCGAACGGGAGGTAGCGGGAACTACAATTCCCATCAGCCCAGGCGTGGCCATCATCCTTTGTGGTCTGTTGTTGCTACAGATCCAGTAATGCGGAAATGGAGTGTGCTGCTAGTAGCGGAGAAGAAAAAGAGCTGGAAATGATCGAACCTAAAGCGGGTTTTAAATCGCATGTGTGGAAGCATTTCGGTTTCTTTCTAATAAGATACGAAAAAGGAGAAAAGGTGACAGACGAAGAAAAAAACAGTATGCAGGCACTGCCAGACTGTGGTGAAATATAAGTCGGGGAATACGACTAATAACAGTCATGGGGACTGCAGAACACAGCACACTTGTTAGATTGATGCAGACATTGACTTGTACCGTAAACAGACCTCTATCTCACTCATGGCTTGTCCTCTCAAGTGGTGGAAAGACAATGCACAACGTTACCCACTGCTGTCAACCTTGGCTAAATCATATCTCTCTGTCCCAGAAACCTCAGTCCCAAATGAGAGGGTGGTTTCTGTTGCAGGGGACATGCCCAGAGATCCCAGCTTTCACCAGATTATAGTTATATGATCATTTTTCCTTAAAAAACCCATCTCTATCTGAGTGAGTGAGTGATTAAATGTTGAATGTGATGAGTTTTCAACAATACTAAATTGAAACTTTATTTTTTTTTTATGGTTTAATAGTTTTTTGTTATTAAAATTGAAAAATTGAAGTTCCTGTTTCGAAGCTTACAGATAGATGGCTAATTTGTATGTCATTGATGTGTTCAGTGCTAAGGTAAATAAACACTTTTGGCACTTTTTTCGAGTCTTTTCATTAGTTTTGTTTTTCCTGTAAATTACTCAATAAATACCGTACCGTGTCATTCATACCAAGGTATTATCGAACCGTGAAATTCTGATTCTGTTACATCCCTAGTATTAGTGTTATTATATTATTAAAGACCTCCAGAATCAAAAGCGTCTGTGCTCTGCGTCTCCACGTGTTCATTGGCATATCGTCTTTTGAGGTGAAAGTCATTCATTAAATAAGGAAAAGACTGACGCAGCTTCTTCTACCGCAGTAAACTCAGTTTTTACTGTTGATATTTGCCACCAGTTAATCAGAAAGTGACGATTGTTTTCTTTGACTCGTTGGATGGAAACGCTGCTTTATTCGAACATCTTTCATGCATAATACAGTTTTGCGCATACATTTAATTTGCATCTTTGAATGAAAACATAGCTAATGAGAATCATTTGGCTACAGGCCTAGCTAAGGTAGAAAAGCCATGAGTGAAGATCTGAGGGAAATCTTCAAGGACAGTCATTTTCAAGACCAACATCAGCACCAAAATACTGAAAGAGTCTATAAATTTGAATATTTAACAGTGCTGAGAGCATAAGCTACAGAGAATGAAAGCAAGAAAAGATCACCGAGGTTGTACAGAAGCATCATGTCGCAGTCTCAAAGAAATCAAGCACACATTGTAGATGACGTCAAAAACACAGAGATCTGGGCAGCTCAGACTCCAGCAGGTCTTCTTGAGGTGTTTTCAGCACAGGGGTTTCCCGTGTCTCATGTTCAGAGCGCACTTTCGGCCCAGGTTTGCTCCCTCCATCAGCAGGTCAGCCAGCCGGTCCAGACCCAAGCAGACGGTGAGCGGGGCGATGAGGCCGTACAGACCCCCCAGCATGATGCTCAGGGGCCAGCCGAGAATCAGTAGAACCAGCAGCCAGATCACAGCCCAGATACACGAGCCACACGACATGATCACCTGCAGGAGCACAAACATTTATCGTAAACAACAGCTTTTTGACTTCGTCATGCACCAAAAAAGTTGCTGCTTGTTCAAACAACTTATTTAAAAAGCGCTCACTGGGGGAGGGTTAACAATTTCTTGTATTGGAAAAGAAGTGTCTAATACATAAAACCCCAAATCACAAAAACAGTTTCATTTGTGAACTGATATAATTAAATATTTTTCAAAAAAAGGTTAAACCAGATTTTGTTTGCTACAATTCTCAGATATCTTGAGGCATTATACACATTTACAAAATCCCAGCAACATTCTCTTTTGACGGGATGCTAATACATTGGAAATCCTCAGACATTCCACGTTTCAAGTCATTTTAACTGAAGAGGATTAAGCTAATCAGAACCAATATTTCAACACCAATTCCAACCTGTATGGCAAACTTCTGTGGATTTTCTCAACGGCTTCATCAACTCTTTCATTGTAACAATGAACATATTATGATAATCGAATCTAAACTACGATTGCTTTGATTGCTAAATTCCTCCATTCGTTTCTTTATTTACTTAAATTTTTTTCCTTTAATTTCTGTTTTAATGTTAGGGTTACTACGTTTATACAACTTGGTTTTCTTTGTATTGTTTTTTTTTTTTTAAATGCATTACTATATTATTATTATTTAACTTTTTAAATCCATGTATAATATTATATTTTTTATATATATAAAAGCTAAAAAAGCTTTATATATATATACACTATCTGACAGAAGCCTTGTAGTTGATTCCAGTTGTAAAAGCAACAAATAATATCTTCACTTCAAGTTGATAGTGAAAAGTGTCAGAAGGTGGATTTTTCTGCTGAATCATCTGTTGAACTCCATGCCAATCATCACCAATACTACAGAAGACCTACTGGAACCAGCATGGAGCCAATAATCCAAGAAGAGCCAAGCCAAGAAGAGAGATCTGCAGAGTGGATGATCAACATCAACAGCCTGAGGTATCAAGACATTTGTGCTGCCCATTACATTACAAACCACAGGAGAGGAACAATTCTCCAGCAGGATAGTGCTCCTTCTCATACTTCAGCCTCCACATCAAAACTCCTGAAAGCAAAGAAGGTCAAGCTGCTCCAGGATTGCCCAGCCCAGTCACCAGAGATGAACATTATTGAGCATGTCTGAGGTAAGATGAAGAAGGAGGAGATGAAGATGAACACAAAGAGTCTTGATGAGCTCTGGGAGTCCTGCTGAACGCTTTCTTCTTCATTCCAGATGACTTTATTAATCAGTGGTTTGAGTCATGTCAGAGATGTATGGATGCAGTCCTCCAAGCTCATGATGGAGTCAGACACAATATTCATTCTGTCTCCACTGCAGCAGGACTTTATATTCTATACTGGACATTATTTCTGTTCAGTGATGAGACTTTAGTCTGAGCAGAGTCAGATCTTACTGTCCTAATCAAATCATTAATAATCAATATAAACCAAATGATCAACTATAAATCAAGTTAGTATCTGTTGTTCTTAAAACTTGGATAGGTGACAAGACTTTTGTCAGGTAGTTTAGCTAGTTAAAGCTAGTTAAAGTTAAAGCTTTCATAACTTGAAAAACTTTTACATCCTGAACTGATGTAAACAAATCCAAACACATCTTTACATTATCATAAGCCAGCTTGAGTTCTCTGTGCATTTGACATAACAGAAGTCATGTGATGCGGCTGTGGTTTAACACAGTGCTTACAGTAAAACCAGCTGCTGTTTTGAGGAAATTACGGTCGGTCTCATGATCTGCTCTTGAGGGATCCCTTTCTTAAATGATCCTTTCCTAAGAGCATTTACAGCTAACACTCTACAAGTGGATGGAGAATAAACACTGTCTTGGCTTGTCAATTATATTCAGTTCATCCTGTTAAAGTTGTGAAGTTCAGAAAATGAAAGCAAACTTACAGCGAGTGTGTTGCGGTTTCCTCTGCTCGTGTCTGTTAATGTTTGCTGGAGCTCCTGATGAAGACGCTCACAGTCCTGCTGTAAATCACAGAGTGGAGGAGACACACACACAGCCAATTCACATGACCCACACACAGGCACAAGCTCACCACTTACAGGACAGATGACTGAGAACAAATCATCACAGCAAATCAAATGGCAAAACATTGGTCACTTTATTTGAAGGTACAATTCTCACTATGACTTCTGCCAATATCAACTTCATTATTAATAGTTATTGATGTAGTGGTTGGCTAAGTTTAGGGATGTAGAGTGAGTTCTTGCCGAATATGTGCTTTATATTGTATGTGCTACTAAACAGCCAACATCTTATTAATAGGCAGGGAATTAGACACTAGTTAATAGTGAGAAATGGTATTTCAACTAAAGTGTTACCAAAACATTAACTGGAAAAAATTATACGCTAAAGCAAAATGGCCTTCATAACTAGCTGAAAACAACAACAAAAATGGCTAAATATTGTTGCTGCTGCTGTTAAAGTACAAAAGTAAAGAGTAAAACCATTCAAAAAATGATCACAGCAAATTATAAACATTGGTCACTTTATTTTCAGGTACAATTCTCGCTATTAATAAACCATTAAATATGACTTCTGCCACAATGAACTCCTCATTTGCTGTCTATTATTAACATTTATTAATGTAGTAGTTTAGGAAGTAGTTTATACTGTACTGATAAACAGTTAACATCTTAATAATAGGCAGGGAATTAGACACTAGTTAATAGTGAGAATTGGTACTTCAACTAAAGTGTTACCAAAACATTAACTGGAAAAAAAAGTTAAACTAAAGCAAAATGGCCTTCATAACTAGCTGGAAAAAAAAAAAAAAA